GGACAGCGCGGGCTCCGTGGCTCGTCAGTCCTGCCCTGCCCTGCCCTGGGCCTCCTGGTCTGGGCCGCCTTCTCGCTGCGTCCCGGCAGGGCTTGTGGGCTGCGGGAGTTGAAGCCTTTCGCCGCCCTCCGGGCAGCGGCTGGGAGCCGGCGCCGGTTTGACATGGAGCCTTCTGGTTTTATTTCCCTCGCTGTTAGGGAAGTGTGTCATCATCCCAGTGCCTCTTACCTCCAGGGTAAGAAAAAGTAGCTGGTCTGAAATGCAGGGTGACTGAGGGTAGTATTTGTTTAGCTTCTTGCAAAATGCCTACTGTTTCAGTGTTTGAAATTAATGCATGGAAAATATGGAAAGCAGGTGGACAAAAAAGCTGCAACTGTGATAATTGTTTTTTTTTCCCCCTGAGCAATAGAACCTTTGATCTATGTCACTTTCCTGTTTATAACATTATTTTACAAATATTTATACTTGTCCCTTTACAGCAAATCTCAGTCACCTTCATTACAAATACGAAGTTTTACTTTGACAAATTGTACATCTTACTTTAAGAGAAGGAAATAAAAAAAAAAAAAAAAGCATATTAGCAAAAGGCTGGATATCTATGGTATAAACAGTGAGGTAGGTTCAGAGAACCATCCATCAGAGGCATGTTGGGCAGTGATGAGGCTCTCTCTGCCCTTCTATGTTTGGCTTGGCCATTCCTCTGACCTCCTTGGAGCCTAGCTAAGCAACCACTTCGAACATGCTCCCACACCATAGTGCTTACAGGCAGAGCTTGTTAGCTGACTTAAGGCAGCAATGTGTGAACAGAGCAGCTGTCTGTCATCTGAACCGGTATACTGAATAGGGCTGCGTATGCAGCCCTAGTGCAGCCAGAGAGGTTGTACACTGTAGGCACAGTTCAGACCAAATGTAGACAAGAGTGGTGGGCTGAGCTCAGCAAGAGTCCTTCTGAATAAAACTAAATTTTTGCAAAATTTTAGTATCATTTGTGCACATTCATTATTCTGTGATAAATGGAAAGAAATAAAAAAATATCTGGCTCAGAATTTGCTACTCAGTCTCTGCTAATTCCTGATTTCAAAGTGCAGAAGACAAGGAAAACAGAAACAACACTAGGAATGGAATTTGTAGCTGAGCTCACATTTCATTAAAGGAAGGACTCATCCACCCCCCAAAAAGATTTTGAGTGTAGTTTATAATTAGTAATGAAACTATCTCATCATCGCATTGTTTTATTTCACCACTGTGAAATAAACCATACATAAAAAACCCAGCCATTCATTGCTGGTTTAAAACGGGAAATATTTTATCAAAAAACATTTTCTCTTAACTTCAGAGCATTATAAAAATATAGTCAGTAACTTGTAGATGATACTTAGGGAGGAAAAAATAGTTGTTGATAGAAATATCATTATGAATATGTCTATTCTTGATCAGTTGCTGCTTGTTTTGAGGTCTACATTTTTGTTCCTTTATTCTCTCCAGGATTTGGAATGCTTTGACTGATAATTATGGTAACGTCATGCCAGTTGACTGGAAATCTTCCCACACCAGAGCTTTGCACTTGCCAACACTGAATCTTTCAGAAAAAGGGGTAAGTTCTGATCAGCAGAAAGACCCTCTTTGGATCTTTTATACTCAGCAGCGAAATAAAACAATTTGAGCATGTATAAAAGAGTGTTGTTATTAAATGGCTTAAAATATTTTTAGTGCTTGGCATACGTGAGAGGCTTTTAAAAATCAAAAAAGCAAACAACTATTTATGTTTGCATCTCCTTGGGCTAAAATAATTTGGGTTTAGTTTTAGATGAATGTTCATTAGAGCCAGACCATGACAGAAGAAATTGTAAAATGAAAAAGTGTTTCACATAGAATCTTTCTACTGTCTGTTTCATTTTGAACACTATTCTTGGTAAGGGAGGAAAAGAGGTGGAAGTACTCTGATTTAGTAAATCCAGTGTGGACTTTTTCTAAGTTCATCTCATTCTGCAGTCAGATGGAGACTAAAGTGGCTGCTTTTACAGGAGAGGTGACCCAGGAGACACTCAAGTGCAAGAGTTTGTTTTGCTTTGTTTCTCTTAATTAGCAAGTAGAATAATTGTCTGGGGAGGTAGCAGGGAATGAAGAGCTTCAGAGAGGTTTATAGAAAGGGTTGTCCTCTGGTCTTCCTAAAAGTGGATTAAAATGCTTTAGGAAGAATTCTCGTCTCCCAGGTCTTCTAAGGAAATGAGTGGCTTATCTTTTAACCATAATGAAGTTGAGTTATGTTGTAAAAGTATATCTGTGTGTAACCTGAGAATATGGTAATGCTTTGACTTCTGCTATTACGTAATCGACAGCAACTTTTTAATGTGACAGGAACAAAGATTGTCCTGCTAAGAGGATACTTTGGAGTTCAGCAGGGATAGATGGCAATTTGCGACTCCCTTTCTCAGTTTGAGTCTGATGGTTATGCCTTGAATTTAGTTTGTGTGTATTCTAATTTTTATTAGTGTTTGTTCAGATTCTGAGTGGCTTAGAGTAATTAAATCCTTACATTTAAAGTAAAAAGAATTACAACCCTCCATGCCACGACCTTGTTGTGTGATTAAAAAATGGAGTAAAAACTGATGGATTTCTTGATAAAGAACTATGTACAGTACAAAAAAGTGCTTCAGATAGTTTTTGTAGGTTCTTTGCAGGAAGTGATGAAGGAGCTATGTAAAAAAATGTGATGTTGCTGGATTAGAAATAATCTTAGATATGCTGCCAGTAGAGGGAAGTTCAGTTTATGGACTAAACAGATTTAAATTTTTTCAGCTTTCACTCCACCTGGTGTGCTTTTTGATGTGTAAAGCCCATCTGTTTGAGAGCATTTGACATACTTTTTTTTCTACTTCTCTGTGTTTCAGCAGTATTTCTGGATACATGACAGCACATATGGACCAGCTACTAACTTGTTTTAACTTTCTTACAATGAATACTAACAGCTAAGCAACACTTCTTTGATGTGTTTGAAACTAATAATATGCTGTTGAACCTGTGCTTAAAGTATTTCTCGGTTTAGTAGGGAAAAAATGTAAGGCTGATTCATCTAATCTTTCTTGCCTCATGTCATACATCTGTGAACACTTTTATACAGCTGTGATGGTGAAAGAAGTAGTTGGGTGGAAGTGTTGTACAATGATACAAGGAACAGGATTGTGCAATTGCTTAGTTACTGTATTTCTGTTACATTACTTTTAAACAGGTCATTCCCTGGTAAGAGTGTGAAGGCAGAACAGGCAGGGAATGTGGCCAGGTGGTCCTTTTGGCATCAGTTGCAGCTTGGGCTGGTTTAGGTGGTTTATTAGCCTAAACTATTAGAATATATTCTGATAGTCTCTCAAAATGTTGTTTCTGGATATGTGAGGAGGGAAAGCTGACCTCACTTTAGATAAACTGTTATCCTTGCTTACTACCCTGTAGTTGTTGTCAGGATCCTATATACATGGAAAAACATTTGAGGACTGCAGATGGTAAAGAATCAAAACTGGGATGTATCTTGCTGTAGGTGAACAGATATTCTTAGTGGAGCGCTGTCACTGAATGGTTATTGGAATTCAGATTCTGGAAGAAGGTGAACATCTGATGGCTGAAGAAACACAAATTGTATGTTTTCCCCTATAGACTAGGTATCTGGGGATATCAATAGCATCTTCAAAATGAATCTGAAAACTGTTAAGGTTTCTGAAGAAACTGAGAAAATTTGAGGAATTACAACAAAAATTGAAAACTAATACAGTGCGACCAAGTACTTCATACAGCTAGTCATAATGCTTGTAAATTAGCCCCAAGATCGGTTGAGCTCAATATGTCAACGGTTAGGGGTTGCCACTGTTGGGGGCTGGGGGGCTTTTCTAGGTTGGTTAGGCTGGATCTAGTAATAGACAAAGTGAAGAAAAAAAGCAAAAAACTTTGTAAATAAACTAGAATATATCACCATGTAAGAGTAAAATACAGCTGACTGAATAAGGAGGGGGCTTGAATCTCTTGTTTTACTATATGTACATCTTTGGTTTTGAAGGATTAATATAATTTGATGGCATACGTGTGAGAATAGCGTTGCTTCTATTTATTTTAAAAGTATATTGTTGAATAGCTGAGTGTCTTCAAAATGAATCTCGGGTGATAGCCATGTTCTGTTTTTTAAAACATTTTTTTCATGTCTTATTATGTGAAAAAGAAGAACTATAAAAGCAAGTAAAATAAAAGGTTTGTGTAGAGATTATAGATAGGTTTTCACCCCACACTGACAAATGTTTGTCTTCATTTAAGATTTAAATATCTACATTGGATTGACTGCCTGTCATTGTGTGCAGATATCTGCACATCATTGTGCATATGGTCTTTTTATGCTGAGGATATTTAAAGACTTTAAAGACTGAAAGCTATTTTAACTTTCTCCAATTGCAATTCTGATTTCAGTTGTTAAGGTACTTCAATTACCAGGTATTTGACAGCAGGAATCATTGAGTCTGTTATTTTGGGCAAGGAATCTGTTTTGCCCTTAAAATTTAATATTAGTTTCCCTTTTGGTTTTTGTATATGTACATGACATGTATTTTTTGTATGTGTGTATATATCCTTATATAAATACACATTTTCATGCTTTCTAGGTAAATGATAACTTGAACCTTGACCTGTCAGATGACGAAGAGCTAAGAGAACAGTTGGATATGCATTCTATCATTGTTTCCTGCATCAATGATGAACCACTCTTCACAGCAGAGCAGGTGAAGTGTTCAGCAAACAAAACAGTGTTGTTGGGGTACCGTTTTCTTTTAGTCTGTAATTAGGTTTTGTTCTTCTTCCTTCTGTTCACCATAGTTAATCTTCTTGATTTTTCTATATTTAGGGCCATAATAATGTGTGAGGTTACTACGTCGTTCAGATTTAAATAGTATTCCAAAGCTCCAGGTCAGGTTGATAGCCCGGGGTCTTTTAAATCTTTGTATGTTTCTTACCATTAATTAGTCAGAAATACTATTAAGTTAAATACATGTGTTAAGAGGCAAAAATATTTTCAGAATGTTGGTGGTCTTGTAGAGTTTGTAGTTTTCCAGCATGACTGTACGGCCATTCATATCTTCATGTGACTTTGTGGTTAGCGAGTATTCTTTGAAGTTTTTGCCTAATATGAGAGCAGATCAATAGTTCTACTAAGCTTTCAAATTACTTAGTGTCTAAAGGCTTCTCTTCCAAATCCATGGATTTACTTAAGTTATCTTGAAAATTGCTCTTCTGGATAAGGTTAATGATTCTGCCTCAAGATCCTGCTTTAGTAAGCAAACACAAGTATATATTTTCTTGTTTAAATGGTTATCTGTGAACTCTGATGAACATGGTTATTAAGAGTATGAGAGACAGGGTTGCTTGAAGTGCCTCTGCTCTTTTTTACTGTGAGGTGGATCTCAGCACTGTCAACAGCCTTTAAACCTGTAAAAGTTGTGTTATTTATTCAGGTAAATAATTTAGCCTGCAGAAATATGGACATTTTTATACTGAAAAGTAAGCTGTCTATGCACAGGATTTATGTTCTTATACTTTCTGTCTGGCTCAGGTCTGTGTCTGGGGATGCAAATCAGCTTCAGATTATGATGGATCAGTTCATAAAACTTCTCATAAGCACAGCAGATTTTCAGCTTCTTCAGGGTTTTTTTTTTTCCTTGGAGAAGTGTCATGAAATGAGGGGTGGGGAGGTAGTTAATTTCTGTTGTTGTTTTGTTTTCCTTCAACTGAATACTCAGGAAAGATATTTCAGCTCTCTCTTTGGTTCAGTTCTCTTAAGTAGAACCATGTGTACATTCATATAGAAATAACTATGTAGTTTCAACATGCTGCTTGTTATGAGATCACCAGTTTACCTTGAAAAGCTAGGCTTATTCTCAGAGACCAAGGATGAGGAGGAAGTATCAGTATGATTTTTGTTGATTCTCTTCCATCCAGTCATAGTATTAGTTCCATTCAGCAGGTTCTTCACTTACTGAAAGTAAAAAAAAAAAAACAAAACACCAAAACCTTAAACTCTTAACAGCTTTGCTTTGAATTGCAGGCTGTTTCTCTTAATGCAGGAGGGTTTTCATAAGGGTTTTTATTTGTTGAAGGTGATTGAAGAAATAGAGGAAATGATGCAGGAATCACCTGACCCAGAAGATGATGAAACACCCACCCAATCTGATCGGCTCTCCATACTTTCCCAGGAAATACAGACACTCAAGAGATCCAGTACAAACAACAGCTATGAAGAGAGTAAGTGATATTTATTTAGTATTTTACTCTTACTCTTATTGAAAATAGTTTAAAGGATGTTTGCCATATGTTTAACTTATAGCAAGCCCTTCTTATGAAATATCTACATTCCAAAATATTTTCAAACTGCCTTGAAAGGATAAACTAGATTTAGAACATAAATAGACTTACCTTTGTCAGCTTTCATAACTTAAAATAAAAATAAAATCTCGTAGATTTTAAAATTAAGGCAAATATGCTGAAGCTTCTTTCACTAGAATGAGGTCTCTTCATAGGTAAGATGATGTCAATCTTTTTTATTAAAATTTATTAATTTCTTCATTTAAAAGTGAGACTCTTGAGGGCAGTACACTGTTTAAAATTAGCTAAGTCTTGAAATCTGTGGAGCACATAAAGAAAATAGTGTTTCTTTGATACTGTTTCAGTCACTAAAACATATCTTGATATACACCAACACAAAAATAAGGCAACTGTTGCTTTTCCTTTCCTTGCATTTTTTTTGTCCTCCCTTTCCATTCCTCTTCAAACAACATAAAAGTTTAAAAAACCCTTTTGTATCTTCTTCTACTCAGATGAAATCATCTGTTTTTCCCCTATACAAAAGGAAAGAAAAAATTATATATATAGTTTAATTGTAGTAAGTTGAATTGTACGTAGAAGAAACCTGTGATTAATCAGTTTCATGATGGAAATTTGTTTCATTTGTGTATTTGTCAAAATCAGTTCTAAAAGGTGATAGGGATGTGAATATTTGCTAGATGATCTTTCTACTTTGGTCCCTCTTACGAAGTTTGATGCTTTCTTTCCTGTAGTCGGGTCAGCAATATACATTCTGTAAATGATTCAGAAAACTGACTGACCTTTTGTGACATGACTTAGTTTCTGCTACACTTCAGATTTATGGAGGAGATCCCATTTTCATGGTTAGACTCTTAGCTGTCTCAACACATAAATTTCAGGAATGTGAAAGCAAAGTGTATCCTGCTCAGCAGGGCTTCCTGCTTTTCTGAGAGTTCCATATGTCCTTAGGTTTGGAGCTAATCAAGCTTGATTGGTATTTCATATCATATTTATTTTGCTTTGCCTCAGGAGTTCATCTTGTCTGTTGCATCTTTATGGTTTAAAGGTTAGCCTTGACCAAACAGGGCCTTGAGTTACTTTGGCAGAAAATGTAACTTTGCTTCACCAGTTTCTCAGAATCTGCTTTCATGTCTTTCGGGTCACTGTTTTATGAAAAGCTCTTGCTACCTTTTTTTCCGTGCAAAGCTGCTTCAGCATTAGTCTGCACCTCTCTAAAATCGTTGCAGGCTTTTCCCAGAAACTGTCTGGCTTTTATAAGACCAGTCAGAGGTGTTAATGTTTAGGATTGAGAGCAGGAAACCAAAGTTTGTATTTACTTTTTCTTGGGTTGGAAAAGACCTTTATTAAGACAGTCCAAACATAAAACCAGTTACAGATCTGATTACACAGGTGAGTCTTTTAGCCTACATATCTAAGATTTAACCCCAATAGTCTTCTGCATTTGAATTACTCTGTCTTCACTCACCTGCATCAACTAAGTAGTTCCTATGTGGTCCTTTTGTAGGCTTTGATAATGACAACTGATATATCATAAACAAGTCAGGATTGCACTTGGGTAATCTGCACCTGTGGTTATGGAACTATTGGTTTTTAGGCTGTGAAGCTGGTTCTTAAGTGTCAGGATTCATTGGTGCTCTCTCTCTAGTCGTTTCACAATGTTTCACAAAAACAGAAGAGTGGTGCAACCTGTGCTGCTTAGACTGCCCTTTGTACTGAATGCACATGGAATGTACTTATTAATTTTTACCACAGGTATACTCAGTTTAACTGACTGTAAAGGCTATTCTGAGACTTGAACCCAAAGAGCACCAGATAATCTTGTTGCTGAATTTACCTTTCTTCCCCCTGCTTATGTTTGAGTATTTGCTATTGCTGCCACCCAAGAGCTGACTTGGCAAAAAGTTGTTGCTGTGGTAAGACCTCCTGTGGTATGTGCCATGACTGAGCACAGCCAAGATCTGGTTTACAAGTAGAGGCCATAACTTGCATGCTATGTGCTTAGAATAGTTTAAACAACAATATAAACAATGTTACAACTTCAATCCTTAAGCATGTGGTTCTGTTACACTGTTTGAACAGGATTTAAGCCTAAACTACTCTGAAAAACTGTGGCTCCTTGCCAGAGAATTGCCTTAACAGGTTTCATTGCTTTTTCCTTAGTAAGTGACAAGGAGCTTTCTCCAATCAGTTTTCCCTGCTGTAATTTAGAAGAGAAAAACCACATTTCACCTTTTACCTTTGGTACTTCTAATAGCTATACTTTTCTGCAGTTTGTGGTCTTACTAGTATTTTTCAACACTTGTTCATAAGCACTTTCCCTTATAACAGTTTCTTTAGGCATGACATTTACTAGACTAATTCAATGTAACCAAATAATTTTGAACATCTATGCAATGTCCTTAAACAGATTGTACCCTTCATTGTAACCAAGACTAGCCCTTTCTCAGATGCTAATGAAAATTATGTTCTTTGACATAGCAACTGATGGGCCATACTTAGCTCCCTAGGTGTGTCAGACTTAATTGGGAATGGAAAGTAGTGCTTGAAGAACATGCTCTTTTTTAACCTAAGCAAGCCTCAGAACATTCTTCTTGGTCATAATTTCACTCTATAATGCATGACCCAATACTACCTCTAAAATGCAAACCTGGAGGGTTTTCTTGTTTCCACACTGATATTTTACAGGCTTCTCACCAACTGATTTAGCTTTGACCAACTGAGTCTCATGCTTTCTCAAAACCATTAATGCTTAGTTTTGATTGAAATGAGCCTGCCAGCTAATTTTGATCCAGGTCTTTGTTTCAGGCAATACAAGACCATGCTTTTGACTACAACCCCCAGGCAAAGAAAAATTGGGGGATTTTGTTGGGTTTTCTACTAAATGCATCTAAAGACATTATCATAAAGGCTTGGCACAAGCTTTTATTAATATGCATGCATACCTTAGCAATATCCCCAAGCAGATTCCTTTGCTCATAGAGTATAGCTTCTGTATTACTCTAGGTGAAAAATCCAAGGATTCAGAAATTCCAAAGTGTTGATGATTGTGTCAGAAAATATAGAAACCTTTTGCTTTGAACAGTGAGTGTAGGCGGGAAGTAATAGTTAACAGACATGTCAGCATTAGAAGTTCAGTACTTACTTCAGGTTCCTTTACTACAACATGCACTTCATATTTGCAGATTATCTCAGATTTCTCAGAAATAAAAAGAAAGTTTAACCATCTTGTTGCTAATCTAGTTGCCTCTGTGATGTGTTTATTCCTTTAGGAATATTATTTTGTTCTATGTAGTTTTAGAACTGAATTTTTTGTTTTGAAAAATTTATAGTACTTTTCTTTTTCATGTAATTCCCACAAGTATTCTCATGCTTAAAGTCTTGACAGATTACTTTTTATACAAACTATTTATAGGAGTAAAAAGATTGTCTGTTGCTGAGTTAAATGAACTGCTAGAAGAAATTGAAACTGCTATTAAGGATTATTCTGAGGAACTTGTACAGCAGTTGGCTCTACGAGATGAGTTGGAGTTTGAGAAGGAAGTTAAAAACAGCTTCATTTCTGTCCTCATCGAAGTACAAAACAAACAGAGAGAACACAAAGAAACGGCAAAGAAGAAAAAGAAGCTGAAAAATGGTAGTCCTCAGAATGGCAAACAAGAAAGAGGTCATATGCCTGGAACAGTAAGAAAATTTTTCTAACTATTTATACATTCAAAATCTTTTTTGTTTTTTCCCTATGGGTAGTAGTAGTCCTAGATTATATCAAGATAAGGTACACCTGCTTCCATGCCTTCATTCACAGACAAGGCTTAGGCACTTCCTATTGAGATTATTCTTTTCATAAGGTCATAAAACATGGCTTTCTCATACTCAAAACAGATATTTTTTTTTATTATTGTTTGCAAATTAGCCTGGAATCGGCAAATCTGCAATTCTTGCAAAAAATGCTGTCTTTGGATGTACTGCTGGGTGTTCTGTTGTCAAGCAAACTCATCTGTTTGATTTCACTGCGTGAATTTTATGTGTAGCACTGTTAGTCTTGCAGGAAATTCACTATTACTGTTGGTGTAGTTGTACAGATACTTATTGATCATGTTGGGGTTTATGTAGCAAAAAAGAAGTCTTACCGTGAATCTCTTGAAACCTGTGGCAGAGTTACTCTGCCCAGTGAGAGAAAGGGGTGAGGCCAAAGCATAGTGCAGGTGTACAGGGGGAAGATAATCCAGTTTGTTCTTTCCAGAACATAGCAACAAAAGGGAAAATGTCTTTCAGACAGAGTTTGAATAATAGGAGGCAGAGAATGAAAGAAATTGTTATTATCTTGTCAATGCAATTTTTTCTTTCTTATCTGTCTATAATTTAAAATTACTTAGGTGGGATATTAATGTTAGAATTTCTTAAATGTCTCTTATAGGATGCAGAAAAAAGTGGTTAATGTATATCTTGGCTAAGTCACAGAGAGAATGATTCAGTTTGACATCAGAAGGTTTTGGGGTTTGTTTTTCAAACATAAAGTGTAAACATTTGTAATGAAACATTAATTCTTTGGAATCTGTTTCTAAACTTAGAAGAATAAGATACCTATGATATAACCCCAATGGAGTTCTGATCTTGTCCAACTAGTGAAAAGTCTTTGTGTACATAGCTAAGTTTTAATGGAACTCTTAAGAAAGTATGTGTCTGGAAAGCAATACAAAATTGTCATCCTTTTGTAAGAGCACAGTGAAAAGTTCAGATATACTCCTTTTTGGTTCTCAGTCATGGAAAAACAAAAAGTGGTATTCTAACTAGAAAGAAAAGTAGTTACTTGGTTTTGAAACTTGAAACTAACCAGAATAGCTTATGAATCACTTGACTGAAGTTTAGAGACTTGAGTGATGCATTCAGGTATAGCTGTACAGAAGTCTTGTCCCAACATAAGACATTTTCATATTTGATTGCTTCAGTATATAAAAGTGTCAGATTGCCTTCTGAGAGGGATTGAACAAACTAGCTCCTAAGTAAGACTGTGTATGTGTGGTTCCTTTGAAAATAGCTTTCACTATCACCAAGCTCAGATTTGAGATCCTTCTTGAACACTCCTTTTTCTTTTTTCTTTTTTTTTTTCTTTAAGGAAGTGCTGAGACTGTGCATACAGATAGTATGTTCAAGTAACTTTGTGAAGAGTGAGTTTCTTTTCATAAATAATGTATAAATTACTAATTTCATTAACTAAAACTATAATGACTTCTCATTTAAATACAAAGCTTGGAAGTAGGGCTAAGATTTTTATACTGTAAGAAAATAAATTCTCCTGTAGATACTATAATTGAATTTTAATGGATAGAGGCTTTAATTCTTTGTCCTTGATGCAGACTTTGGGTAAATTACTTTATTAAACTTCTACAACTTTTACCTCTCTCTCAAGGGCAAACTGGGGAATAACTGAAAATAGTCAGGGCTTGAAGATGACAGTTTCTTTAAGTAGGATATGTTAAAAGAGTTAAGATGGCTTTGGCAACATCTATGTCTTATTTACTGACCTCATTGTGCTTTAGAAGGCAAGTGAATCCTGTATTCCAGCACATTTTATCCCCTATCCCATAAATAAATACATTCAGATAAGGGTGCTGAGGTGTGCACATCATACTGTTCTGTGCCAACAGCTTGACAGTATGTTCTTTTTTTGTTCTTGTCAGTTGCTGATTTTTATATCTCATGCTAAATATCAAAATTATTTTCATTTTTTTTCATTTGTTTCCTTCAGGAAGGAAAAAGGATTACAAAGTTCAGGGGGGAAAAAAAAACCAAAAAAACAAAACAAACAAACAAAAAAAAAAAAACTGTGGTTGGTTTATAAATTTTACTTTACTTGGATTCTATGGTTCCGTGTAATGGAGCTTGAAATTAATATGGGTGCATTATTAACTAAGTGTGTATATTTTATCATATTATAAAAAAATGGGGAATACTATTTGTTACTTTGGTTGTGGAAAAGGAAGTATGAAAGCATAAAGTATTTTAAAGAAGTAGAACTGAAAATTACTACCTCTGAACAGTGTTTCTAGGTGCATAAAATATGAAAAAATTGTATCAGTGGTGTCTCTAAAAGTATATTGTGAAACACAAATTTTAAAGGAGATTGTACTGTGAACTACACTTTCAAAACCGCTATTTTTTCACATTTCACAATGAAACAGCCTTAAAAGGCAAGTCTCAATAATTGGGTCTGCAGTGTGAAGATTTTGGTTGATTAAATTTTGCTGTAGACACATTGCTTAACTGTCATTATAAAGTTTGCTTTTTAATCATGAAAATTAAGTAGGTGAATGGAAAAATAGAAATGTGCTGAAATGCGTCTTAGAGCTTGTCTTTGTCGTTTGTCTTTTATAGTCTTGGTAAATTCTGATTAACAGTCTTCTGAACTTTTCTCTGTCCCTTTTTTCTTTCCACTATGTTTTCACTATTAGCGCTTCAGCATGGAAGGGATCTCAAATGTCATACAGAATGGCTTCCGCCACACGTTTGGAAACTCGGGTGGAGAGAAACAGGTGCTGGGCTATCTTCTCTCTTTTCCTCATTCTTTGCCTGCACTTTTGGTAGGAGCTGAGCTCTTGAAAGTTGACAGTAGTTGAAGATAAATGCTAAGGCCGGAAAAAAATAGAACAAAAATGTGGAAATGGTACTCCTTCCCTGCCTCGGGACTCTGATCAGCCTGTAGTCTCTTTCTCTCCTCAGTAGCTCGAGACAGTCAGGACTTGATATCCTGCTGCAAGGAAGTAATAACCTTTATTTCCTACCCCAGACCATTGGTATAATGCATGCTTCAAATACATGGCATGTCTGTAAAATTCAAATATCCAATCAAAGAATATGTATTAGGTTAGACATAACATTTCAGCCCTCAGCATTAAAGACTTGGGCAATACCTCCAGCTGAAAAAAGGTGGGGTTTTTTGTTAAAATGTTCAGAACTTGATATATCTAAAAACAGGGTAGCATCTGGAAAGTGCATGCTTTATTGTATATCTTTTTGCCTTTGAAAACTGCATGATGTTAAAAGCAGCCATATGTGTGCAGTGCGGATTACTGATATAAAATACATAAACCATAGGCAAGTCTGTGTCTTTTCACTGACAATTTAAATGTTGAAATATACGGCACAGGGACCCAGCTTCAGTGCCTATCACTGTAGATGTTACATATACCTAAGTATCAAGGTTCTTGTGCTTTAGTTCAAAGTAATACTTAATTGTTTCAGAATTGTAGTATGTATTTTATATTAAATGAGTTTTGTATTTTGGTAAAGTGTTAATGCTTATGCTATCATTTTGGCTTTTGGCCCACATTACCTATAGTTTGTGTCTAGTTTGTGCAGTTGGGTCAGAAAAGTGCATTAGATTTTTTTGTTTTGGGTTTTTTCCCCTGGTGAGAAGTCCATTGAGGCAATAAACTGCCTGGTAGCTTAGAATTCATGGCTGATAGGCTTTTGTCTCAAAGATGATTGGAGTATCTTGCATAGTTCAGGAGGTAAAGCTCCTCTCAAGTCATTCCTGAATCATGAGGTTAGAAATCATGGATTGACCCTCTTTCTCAAGCAAGGTATATGTATGAGTGTTCCTGAATACATAGGTCTAACTATTTGTTTCCCATTTTGAGGATCTTGGACACATGCCTAGAGCTTACCTAATGGAGTTTCTATAACTCTCCATTATCTCAAAATTGGTAAATAGGTGTGCTGAGTTGTTTTTTTTCTTTGCTGTCTTTACCATTTAATAATAACTGGCAGCTGTTTACCCGTGTCTTTTAGCTATTTTAAATATCATGTATTTTCATAAAGTGAACATATGGCTATGCCAGCCCTCTTACTTTTGGTTAAAAGCCTTTATATGCATGTTTATTCAAATGCACCTTTTCTTCTTTGTCTGCCTCCTAACTTCCAAGACCTAAGTAGCATAATCATATTAACAATAACACTGAATAACTCCTCCAGTCGTTTTTTGAGTTAGTTTCCTAATGTTGATCATACTATTTCCCTGATTTATCTTATACTACATCCTCGTTAGCAGGGTTATGGGGTTTTTTTCCCTTCCTAAAGCCAATTGTGGAAATAATGGGAAAAAATTAAAACTTAGGTGAGAAGTGTAGGAACTGTACCCATTCTTTTCTGATTTAGTCCTGGAAATCCATTTTTCTATGGCATTTTTATTTTGTTCATACACATAAAGTCACAACATGAAGTTTATGACAACTTTGTACAGTTATTTCAGAACTCTCTTCAGTCTTTAATTTTAATGGCACTTACCACCTTTACTATTGTTTGGGTAATATTACTCTAATAGTGGGTACTTTTAAAAATTTTAGTCCTTCTATCTGTGTGTGTGTTTGAGACATAAGTGAAAACAATTTGGAATTTTTCAATGTTCAGATGGAAACTTCAGTGGGAACTTATTGTTCCTGTCTGATAATGCAGTTGGAAAAAAACAACGCCAACTGCATAAAAGCCATTGAAATGATGATAGCTCTTTATATGATCACATTTCCAGAAGAAAATTCAAGATAGTGATCTTCATTTCATTTTTTAGGCATATCAACACTTTTTATGGGTAATTACAAATTGCAGTGGGATGCTTATCGTCTTGTCAAATCTGCTTTAAAAATTTAGAGGTCACAATAGACAACACTTGGTCGTGTCAGTTAGCGACACTTTAGTAATTCTTTATTTTCATCACAAGTTATCCTTCACAAAGCAATTTAGGGAATGAGTTTTTATAGTGCTGTTATAGAGACTTATTGTTACAGCTGTAAATATTGATGAGAAAACCAAGATGATTTCTGGAAACTAAGAAAGAAATTCTACTATTTTTTTAAAAATTAATTTTTAATTTTAATTGAACTATTAGAGAGGAAGATTGGAAGGTGAAGTTTATGGGAGAAGGAAAACAGGGAATATTGGTATTTGGTCCAGTGAAACACGTCTTGGTAATTTTGTTGTCTAGGTAAAATGTGGAATGCCACTTAGTTCTGAAGGCTGGAAATGGCAGCCTAAGATCTGATTTCTGAGTTAGTAGATGTACTTTTATCTCTGATGTTTGCAGATTTAACAACCTTACATCTAGATATTGATTCAGGTCATTTCAGTAAGAGTTCAGTTCTCCAGTGATACGTCTTGTTTACATCTGCTGGAAAAGAAACTGAGAATTGACTGTTTCCTAGGAAGTATTCTATACTTTCCTCTGCTGTGTTAAGTGGATGTGAGAAAATGCAAAAGGAAAAGGAAGGTAGAGAAGTGCCCTGTGTTTGCATAATGTCTTGGTGAGGTGTCAGTACATTGTGTACAGTAAGTTCCCTTAAGTGACACAGAACTGAGTCTGTTTGGCTTTTGGGCAGAGGGTATGGTTGAGCATGAGGTGTATGGTCCCTCTCTAAACATTAAATGGTTATAGCTGTGTTTGTCAACACCAAATCACCTTCTGCAAAAGGAACCTCTTCACCAGAGTCTGAGTTACACTTGACTCTTGCTGAAATGCTGCTACTAGGAGAGGAGACCTTGTATATAATGTGTTTTCTGATTGTTACATGGAGAACCACAAATCTCTCAAGTTGAATGCGGGACAGAGGGCTGTTTTGCCTACTGCCTTGTAGCTGTTAACCCACAGTAAAGTTCCTGTTGAATTCTTAAAAATTGAATTGTGGAAGATTTCAGGAAGCTTTTTCGTTAGGGAAAATTCCAGCAATTTCAGTACTTTGCTGACCTCTTTAAGTAGAATATGCATTCATATGGGCTGCATAGTAAGATGTTGTCTAAATACATTTAATAATAGGGTTGCTTCAAGAATTTGAAAATAAAAATTGGTTGCACTGTGGATATGAAAATCCTGAAAGATTTAAGAAAATTTTTGAGCTTCTTTGCATTGATTCTTCTTTTTTTTTTTTCTTTAAATCTGACAAGAAAGAAAGATTTCAGTAAAGAGTAAATAGAACAAAAATGGAGTTTGTCCGAAATAATGTTCGCACACTCAACTATTAAAACAGAAATTAAATCAAAATCCAAATGGTGGGGTCTTATATTTAATTAGGTTTGCTTTGTTCCTTTTGGTTGGAAGTCAGAAGGCGAAAGTTGTCTGTTTTCACCTGACTGTGGAGCAGCCTAATTTTCTTTGCACAATGGACTATAGATCACCTTTAGTACTGGACTGGGTAATGCTCTTTCATCTCTCAAAATCATTGGAATGTTTCACATTCTTAGTAAGAGTTAACCAGTCACTGAGAGAATCCCATGGCTTTTTTTGAGGTTGTTCAGTCACAGCATATGTCAAATTTGAAGATCTTTTTTTTTTTTCCCAAATACTTGTTATCACACTTTTATGAACTTAACACCTTACTTAAGGCTACCCCACAGCCTTTATCATTGTGCTCTTGAATCCTTTAAAAAGCTGACTGTTACCAGTTTCCCAGGTTATTTGAAGGCAACCTTAATATTTACATGGAAAGATTTTTATTTTTTATTTACTGTACTTCCTGGAAAGATAGAATTACTTTCTGGTGACACTCATGATATTTATACTTTTTTTTTTTGAGTGAGTTTGAAAATTGTTCATTTGCATTTACAGTGTTGTTTGTGGGGAGGTGTTGGGAAGGTTGTTCTTCCAGCTTTTATTTGATTGTAAGAAGTACTTTAAATACCTGAAGGACTTCTGGTTAACTTCTGGAGGGAGAAGAGGAAAGATTTTCCTATTGGTATGCATGGGCTCTGACAAAGAAACGTGAGAGAGAAAAACTTTTTACTATAACAGATCCAAATTTTTTTAATACTTCTTTTTTAGTGGTTAGCTGCATGACATCCAAAGTGGTCACATAATTTGAAAAAACAATTAGAAGTTGGCTTCTGTGATAAAAGCTTTGGGATAGGAAAGGTAGAATCCTAATCTCTTGTGAAATATCTTTTGAAAGCTTTTATTTGTGGCTAGTAATTTCAATTGCTACAATTTTTGCAAAATACAATGCCAGAAACATAAATTGCATTAAAGGACTGTCAAGTAACTCTGTTTTTCATTTGACAGTACTTAACAACGGTCATTCCTTACGAAAAGAAAAATGGACCCCCCTCTGTTGAAGATCTTCAAACATTAACCAAAAGTGAGCATACAAAGTTACTTCCTCTTTGTATTTCCAGCTGTGGTTACTTAAAATGAATTAGTCCATACAGTTATGTTTTCCCCCTTACTGTATGGGATTATGTAAAGTGGCATGACTTTTAACCATGCATTTTGGCCAATTTTTACTGGCTTTCTGACTCTTCATAGTTTGTTTGTTTTCTAGCTGTTCTCTGAAACCCTGAAGGCTAGAAACTTGCATGTTCTCACCTTATTTCAACACGTGGGCCATATGGAAAATACTGCATGCCAAGGAATTTGGCAATACAGTGTAGTACCTGATATGCCCCTGTTTGTTTAAAGTTGCTATGCTTTATAGAGATTATTATAATGCCTTTCAAAAATTGGAATGTATGTTGGGACACTTATGAGTAGTTATCTAATGATTGCACTTAACTGCCTTTGAAATAGCCTGCTCCTCTCTGAGGGTCTTTTTGTTAATAAATTTTAATTATTAGGAAATATAAACCAAACAGTTTTGACTGTGCTTTGGATTCACCTTTCTTCGCATCTTGTTAGGCCAGATACTCAAAATGATAAGTTCTGTCTTCTGGTTTGGGTTGGCTTTTTATTCTAATTTGCATTTCAAATTAAGGAATTTTTTTTTAATAATTATTAAGGTGGTTAAATACAGCAGAGCATCTCTGAGAGTCAATGGCACCTCCTTCATTTGCAGCTTATAGGAACAGTTTAAAAATAGATGGTAGAGTACGTCAGTGTATTTGATCAGATCTCAGTGCAGGGCTTTGGATCTAACTACGTCTTAAGGTGCTTTCCAGCAGCACAGGTCTGTGATTCCACAGGTGCCTGAGGGATGATGGTAAAAGGTTCACTGGTTGTATTCTGGAAGGAGAAAATAAACAGAGTAAATGAAATGTTTAAACAGGAATTAAATTAACTTTATTTTTCTGCAGTAGGCACCCTTATCTGGTAATTCATACTTATCCTGTCACAAATGGATATTTCATATTTACTCCTGCAAGAGAAATTTTATCCTCTTGCTGTATTTAAATTGCACTTTAAAATATTCTCAAAAAATCAGTCTTAAGCAGAGAGAGGTTAAAGCCTCCTGAAAACATTTTGTTGTTTCACAGTTTATTAACAACATGTCTTGTACAAATGCACTGTAAAGAGTATAAAAAGTATTGCATTCTGTGGGCTGGTTGGAACTTGATCCTGCGACTCAGTTGCAGATTTCTGACTCACTCTCCCTGCAGACGGTAAAGCAGGTGTTTGGGGTTATTTGGTTTTTCTTTCAGAGCTGCATATTATTCTGTAGTTATGAACACTAATATCTTCAGCATAAAAGTTGAAATAAATGAGTTGAGTCTCATATGAGGAATTTGGAGGGTTTTTAATAGTGCTATTCAGTATAATTCTGTACTTCTGATTCTTTCAGTCATGACCAGAGCACTTCATAAAGGCTTGTCATTAGTTTTGTTTATGGAGTAACAGACAAGCTTTTATATGTCAAGTTGAGCTAGTCCAAATGTTTTTCCTTCTTAAGACAATTTTGACTTGATATAAGTCACAAAAATGACATTTTGGCATTATTCAAAGTTAATACCAAATTCAATCATGTATTTAAGATTTTTCTAAGCTACAGCTGCTAACCATGTTCACCATTTTAGGGGAAAAAAAACATTTTCATCAGATCATTCACAGCAGTGTTTCTTCAGAAAATTGTCATTATTCCATGATTCATGATGAAGATCAAGGAAATAAATTAATTAATGGAGCATACTTTTTTACCTGAGATTTCAAAGATATTTTAGTTTTGGATGTGGTGATGGTCTTTTGGAGAGATTTTTTTTCTATAGAAAAGAGGTGCTGCTTTTGTTACAACTGATGACATTTACTATAATAATTAACCACGTAACATGTGTCTCTTGCATATATCCTGTGGAGTTCAATGAGAATTACACAAGTGAAAGGTGGAGATAGGTTGTGTCTCATTTTTTCTTCTCATATTCCAGTTAAGAGTTTTCTTACTAATCTGGTAGTAATACCCCTATGAGTAGTTGAAACAGCTCCGTGGAATTTCTTTTGAGGGTATTGGTTTCAGTTTATGACTAAATATCTGAATTTTTTTTTTTTTTATACTTTAGTCCTGCATGCCATGAAAGAGGATAGCGAGAAAGTGCCAAGCTTGTTAACAGACTATATTTTAAAGGGTGAGTATGTTTCTTAGGAGGGATTTCTTTTATTTTGAATTAACTTAATGTACAAGGTGTTTTTGAAAAGAATAGTCCTACAGGATTCGTGAATTATGTTGCCCTTCTATCAAACACAGCTCTCATTTATATTCTATTTTGTCATGGTTTCTGAGCATATAGTTCATAAATAAACTGTGTTTATTTTGTTTGTGATAGTATAATATAGCAAAGTATGTGGTGTATATTCAAATAGCTGGAGGACATCAGCAGGAGCAGAGCAGTCTAGCTTACAAACTTAAATGGGTATAGTTAAAAACTTGTGTTGTATAGGTTTTTCAGAATCAGAATTCAAACTGCCTGTGGTAATAATGAATTTGCTAGATGAAGTGCTTGTAGCTTCATTTTAAGTGTTATGTTCTGATCAATAATAAAAATTATTTTACATTTACTTGTTATACCTTCTTCACATTTGAATTTAAAAGTTTTGTGTATGAGTCATTTTCAAGTCTTATACGTTGATTATATTAATAGAATGTCAGACATTAAAAATCACTGCATGCTTTAGCTTTCAAAGAGTTGTTCCAGGTAGTTTACAGGTTGCTAAATAAGTGAAATGTTTTTCTTCTGACTTCATTCTTGCCTAGATCTTACTAATGCTTATGGTTTTAATTCTTGGCATATAAATAGTACCATCTTCTTTAGTGTTTAAATTTAGCATATGCATCAAACTATCATGATCTGAATAAACAGATGTACAAAAGGATGATGGATACCTTTTTATCTGCTATCCAAATGTATATTATGTTCTGCTTCATGTTCATATGCCGCAAAGTTTTTCTCTTTTGGTATCATGCTTTCCAAATCTCACTCTTTCTTTCAAATACAATCATTTGACTTAACTCCCTCCATATGATTTTTAAAGGGGTTTGTATTTCTTACACAGACTTCTAATCACCCTCATCTCACAGAGATTTGAAAGTAGTTTCAGATTAAGTTTGTGGATTAAATTTGGTGTGCTGTTGCTTCAGAAAATCTGAAGAAAGCCATGCAGTATCCTGGAAGCTCTGATAGACTTCCTGTTGGAAGAGGCTCATTTCTAAGTTTTGGTAGGGTTGCAGAACTACCACATACAGTAAGAATGCAGAATTGATTCCTTTGATTTCTCCATTGTTTACTTACCCTTTCTGAAAATCCTTCTTAAATTAGACAGATGTATTTGCTTATGAGCTGAATGCCATTTAGGCTCAAGATCAAGGTTTTTTTAATGGTTCTGGCACTAAACTTTAGTTCTGTGAGGCAGAATCTTTGACCCAAGAGGATGAACTGTTGTCAATAACTAAAGTTGTTTGTTCTTCGTAATATATCTGGTAGAAATGGATTGGAATGACTATTGCTCTTTACAGTCTGCTGTTATTTTTAGACATAGCTATCCACAAAAGCTTTCAGATTATGAGGATACTGAGAAGAAACTGGCTGCCTAGGGAAATGGAGAAATCTTCTGCAGATAAGGATTATAAAAGTGTATTAGCTGAACATATGACAGGATGATCTGGGAAGCTTGATACTGAGGTTCCCTCCTACCTCTGCCTCTGCATACTCGTGACTTAAAATCCCAGAGTTATTCTACTAGCTAGATGCGACAATTACAAAAACATCAAACTCAAATGTGTTGGATGAAACAGGTCATCATGTACAAGCACAGTTGTCTTTAAATTGTAAAACACAAATGATGGGAGTATGAAGAGTAACCACGTCACTCATACTGAAAGGAAAAGGTGATTTCCATTCATCTACCATTTCATTACTGGACAAAACTAAGCCCTTCTTGATCTTCTGTGGGTCTGTTTGCACAATGGCATGCAGTTGTACAAGCTAGTGAGCACTGAATTTTACTCTTCCTTTCAATGTAGCCTATAACTAAACTGCAGCTCCCTATATTTAGATTATGTTAAATACTTGTAGAGGCTGATAGTGTTACATTGTAATGTAGGTTTATCCTGTGGAAGAGGGACAGTCTTTCAGTTGTTTCTGAGATTGTAAACTATTTATCTTTCTGTCACTAAAACTTCTGGCCTGAAGCCTCAGTGAGGCTTCATACATGGCACAAAATACTCCCAGCCACCTGTCTGTTGTCTGGAAATTATTTTTAAGCCTTGTTAAAGGGAGATTAGATGATTCTGTACACAGTCACATAAAGCAACTTTCAGCTCAGCTTTTGTACCTGAAATTCCAACTTACTCCTTGAATTTCAAAATGAAAGGAGTGACCTACTTGCTGAAGAGTCAGCTCTCTTCACTGGAAAGATTAAAAATGTCTTGATATGATGAAAATTATGAGGATTTAGGGGTTTGAAATTTTTTTTCGAAAGAAGCAGTAGGATAACAAGTTCTGGATCCAGTAATAATCATCCATATGCTATAGTGATAATTGTATTCGTTTACATTTGTTTACTCTATGATCTAGATATTGTCTTACACTGAATGAGTTCCATTTCTTTTTATTAAACTTTAATCAAGAAATGAAATTTTGGAATGTGTGAATCATATCAACAAAGATACTTGTTAAAATCTGGTAATTTCTTTGAGTTCCTTTGAGGATCATTTATTCCAATCTTAGAACAAAAAAAATAGGCAGTAAATTATATGTGACAATAGGATATGTGTAGATTTAGGGAAAATCCAGTTAGTGTGGAATTTGTCAGCACAGGAAAAACCTTCTTTCTAGCTCTATATTCCAGTTTGCAGAGCAAAGAAAAAAAAAAAAAAACACCACACAAGTCCTCAATGATTTTTTTAAAGCAGCACTGTCTTTTTATTCTGTTATGGTATTTAAAAAATTAGAACATACAGTCTTATATGGCTGTTATGACTGTCCATGGAGTTAGTAATAAACTTGCCCAAATACTGTTAATTACTGTTGAAAAGTTACTTAGATTGTTTAGAAGCAAGAGCTGAAGTAAAAAATATCAGAAGAGGTGATTGCCATAGTGTTGTTGGCATAATGTTTTGGGACCAATAAAAGAACACTGTGAGCATGAAAAGGTTAATGGAACCATAAGATTGAGCAGTAAGTGTTGGTTTAATGAGAAATCTTGCCAAATTCACTGGTGTTCTCATAAAAACAGGAAGAGAGTGAAATAAGTTTATATTTTTTCTGAATTTCATAGTGTTTCATAGAAGTGTCAACATTTTTAATATTTTGAACTAAATGCCTGAATAATTCTTAAAATTTGTGAAAGACTAAATTTGAATCATGTGGGAAGACACACACAGACCTCCTCCATATGTGTTGTCTAATACTTGATATCTTCATTTAATAATGATTGAGTAAATTTGTTTTGGCAAATCAGTTTGGGCAAGAGCTGGAGCATGGGTCTAGAACTTGAAGGAGAGTTCTGATCCAAATCTGCTATTGACCTTCTCTGTTACCATGGATCATTCTTGCACCTTTTTTCATAACCAGCTAATGCTTCTGAAATGCTGGAAGGAGAAATCTTTAGAACATAGGATGTGCAAATCCAGTGTAATAAAGAAGTGAAAAAGGCCAATGCAACTCAGTGCCTTTCATGTTAGGAAAAAGAAAAATTCCACATACATTTCTGAATAGGATTGATGGTTTTGAAATTGGTTTTGATGTTTGCTTTTTTTAAAGCATCCTCTTTTCCCAGTTTCTGCCCACTTGTGTCCCCCAGAATGTTAAAAATAGCATCATTTTGTCCTCATGCTTACGTCCCTCTTTCTAGTGATCAGTTAGCTCTCCTGATTCCATATGGAATTCCATAGGGTATTCCATAGGGAGTACCTTCTCAGAGGTAAGTATCCCAAAGCCAGACTACATATATATTCTATGCAGTCTCGTACAATGCAGTAACTTACCTTCTCTTGTTCATATTACTCTTGATGCAACCTTAATTTTTAGGGGGGAGGGGGGTGTAGGGTGTCCTTTTGTGGGGTTTTGTTTCTTTTTGCTTTTCAGTGAACGTTTCCATCCTGAACTTAGTAATAGTGAAAGGGATTTAGTGATTTGTTTTGCAAGTACATTGTAGTTCTTCTACCAGTGTATGATTCGTATTATATTTTATAGATTTAGAATGAAAATAGATGGTAACATGAAATTGAAGCATCGAAGAATGAAAAAGAAAAAACAAAATCCAAACATTTGCAGTTGTGCTTAAATTGTTCTGAATATGTTTTTAATGTATTACTTTATCACTTGGGGTCATGGAACAGAAGTTGAGATTTGGAAGAGGGCATGTGGAATGCATTTGCTGACAGGGAAAGAAATATCAAGCCAACACTGTGAAATTCTTGATATTAAAAAGCATACTTTTAGACTGAAGCTGCCAGCTTAATATGCTCACTGTGTTTAAATGCTGTTTGTGCTCATCTTTATATTGATCTTTTTTGATGGTTGAACAAACATAATGTGCTTTGAAAACACTGTGTTTCCATTGAAAGACCTACACAAGCAAGTAAGCAGCAAAGTTTCTTGTGCCAAAGTTAAGTTGTACAGCAAGGAGTGCAGACAGAGATTTTCTTGTCCTATCTTGTAGTTGCATTGTTTTTAGGTGTCACAACAGGAATAGGTACTATATCTTTAAATGAAAGCATGTTTGTATTGACTATACACATTGAATTTATTTTTTTTTTTACAAAAGCTTTCAGTCTTTCTTCTTGCATGTATAATGTAATGACTTCCTGCATTATGATTTATTTACCAAGTACAATAATGCAACAAGTAGTAGCATCTGTAATCCTTGAAGTATGCAAGTTTAGGTTGCTTTCTGAATGAAATGCCTCTGTGCGGTCATGTTGTCTGTCTCTTCAGCCTTACAAATAAGAATTGCCAATTTCAACCCCAAAAGAGAGAAGAAAAAGTGGTGGGAATAACTGCATTTCACAAATACCGTAGGGAACTACATCTAGGGAGGAGAAGGACTGAAACCACTGTTGCTTTTGACTTAAAGGCTATTGACTTTGAAAAGCCAGCATCCAGCTAGCCAAATAGTTTTTAGGGATTCACATTCAGGTGAATGCACTTACAATAGCTCCTGTCAGTCTGGGGGCATGAGGACAGAGCAACAATATGGGGAGGGCCTTCTGGGATGGAGTTCATAGCAAATTTAAATTAGGAGGTGAGAAAGGCATTGTGGGAAGGGGAATTACCTAGTTTCTTTCAAGGGTAAGGAGAAATATCTGAGGAAATCTGCTGGAAGCAAAGGTTCCTTAATTTAGTCACTCGTGGAACAAATACATGAAATTTAGCCTGTAGATATACACAGAATCAAGATATTAGGGATTGGTTGTCTGGTATCACATCTAGATGTATTATTTCAAGATAATTAGTTTTTACTTCCAATGTTTTACAGTATTTAAAGATTTAACTTCATATACAGGAATAATTTTTGAATATAACACAGTACAAGTATGCCTCAAGATTAATTTTTTTTCCTAAATTCAAGAACACATGTAAGTTTAAATAATTGTGACATTATTAATACTTAACTATTATATATAACTATATTTAAGTACATATTTATAGCTGAAATAAATACCTTTGAAATCAGATATGTCCTTACAGTAAACCATTTGAAGATGTATTTGCTAAGGTTTGTGTTCTTTTCCAACTGTCCTTAAACAGTAATTGTGACATAAACAGTAATTATGACATAAAAATACAGTGCTAGAAATATGCTATATATTACTACCAAGTAAAATGTGTGAAATATGTCTAGTTTTATTTTCTTCTAGGCTTTTTTCTGAATGTAGATGTCATGAGAACAGAATAATTTTCTGTCATTCCTCTTGCTTTGCTATTTCATATCTGATTATTCAAGCTTCTAGTAAAGGCTTAAAAAAACAGGGTTTTGTTCTAATAAAGCAAGAATTTATGCCTTGTTCTATTTTTAAATTATGCAAGTATTTCAGATAACAAGAACATTTATTTTCTTGCCTTTGAAGTTTTTGTTTAATTGTTACACCTGACTTCTTTATTTGCTTTTGTTGTGCTAGCATTGGTTTGAAAGCTGGATTGCTCTGAGGTTTGTGTTTTATATGTGAAACAGGAATGAGAAACGCATGAAGGACATGTCTTGTCTTCCCACTGTATGATTCAAGTACATGCACCAAAATTAGAAAGTAGAGTTGGAATCTCAAAATTGTCAGTGCATATTTTTAAAATATAACTGCATGCGTCACCTTTTATTTAATGTTCTATTTTCTAATAGAGCAATTCAAAAAGCACTGTTTAAGACATGACCTTTAGTTAACTCATTTCTGGATGGTAATACTAGTTAAAGATAGTGGGTTGTGTCACTTAATTATCTTTTGAGCCGAGGATGATACCTTAATTGCCAGTTTCAATTGATTTCTAGATTCTGCCACGTTACTAATAGAATTCAACATTTAAGTATTTTTAGTATATACAATACATTATACAGACTTGACTTCAGTGATGTTTATCAGAATGTATTTGTGGTTCTTTTGCAGTTCTGTGTCCTACATGAAGAGGGCTGCCTTTCAAAATTAGCCATGCTCCTTCCTGTCATGAGAAGCTTTCCGTGGATACTACTCATAGTATTTTTTTCATTTGGCACTAAACCTAAACCAGTATGCATTTACTTCCTTTGTGTGTATGTGGATTTTCTGATCCTACAGTAAGTTTTCTGGGCATGAGAACTCATCCATTTTAACTTAATAGTGCAATGAACTGGAACAGAGAACAAACATTGTACAGTTTTACTCACATTGTTCTGGCTTTTTAAAGTCTATTTTTACATTGTATAGCATGTAGTAAATCCTCCTGCACATTTTGTTGTTGGAAGGAAAAGTAAACTTTGAATAGTGTAAATAAAATAAGCCTAGTCATAAGGAATCCATATTTAAAAGTATCCTTAGTTCCTCTAGCAAAGATTCAAAAAGGATCATAGTCAGGCTTGGACTAAAAGATTCCAGTGAGTTCTCCAAGAAACACTCCAGAACAGTGTTGGTGGAAGTCAGCATTCAACACTTCTTTTAAAACAGTAACTTTGATTGAACTATACAACAGTATTGTTCATACAATGAACAAATCTAGATTCTTTGATGGTTTGGCATAAGGAATTGGTATGCTACCTATCCTTGTTATTTAACGCAAACATCTGAGTAATGTAATATTTCATATTTGGTTTTAATTAGATGTTTATGTGGCTTAGATATTCTCCCCTATTGCTGCTATAATTTTACTGTTTTTAATAAGTGTTGGATCTTAATGCTTCAATATATAAACATTTTAAAAGGCTGTATCTTTTTAAAAATACATGTACAGTTTGAAAAACTTGCACCTGGGTTCCACCTTAGTATAATATTGAGACCTTTCTTGTTGCGTATCTCTAAATTTTGCTACAAATCTTCTGTGAATTATATGCACTGTCTTCTCTGTGATGATGTATCTGCATTCAAACAGATTCAAACAGATGCGAATGTATTTTACAAATCCAGTAAAAGAAACATACTCCATAATCTCAACATTAAATACTTGTCACAAATAATTTTGCCATTATTAAGTATTAGATTAAAATGTAAAGGGTACTACTACAAATAAAGGAACTGTTTTCTAGGTTGAATTTCACCACACCAAGATTTATATACTGTATATGTGAAGGCACAGAAAGGTAATGTTCTAAAGAGAATAATGTCTTTTCAAACAGTTTTTTTCCATTTAAAGTCTTCAGTCTTTTTCTTAGTTGAAGAGAAATTTGTTCTGAATACTTTGTGTCAGTTCTTTAATACTCAATTTTGTCATTGTCACCAAATACTCATTTTAATCAGTAAAAGATGTTCAGTGTGAAAATAGTTCTCATAATCCTTTTCTCTTTTTTTTTTTTTCCTAAAGGCCTCAATATTTTTGTATTTTGAGCCTTTTTCAGTAAAGTTTTCAGCTTAAAATTCTCTCCTCCTGCCTCTCTGCCACTTCATCACCAATGAATACTTGCCAACCTACTCAGGAATAAATCTTCTGCATAAGTGTGTCATATGTGAGGAAGGGGGGGGTTGTTGCTTTTTTTCTACTTCATTTGTGATTTATTTAACAAGAAAGTTGCCATTTATTTCTTTAGCTGATTTGTTATTAACTCATTATGGCATGTTTTCCATAGAAATGCTTGATGATGACTCCTGATGCCTGGAAATTGGCAAAAGGGGTGACTCTGCTTTGCTTCATTTTTTGGAAAAAGATGCACATGTTGTGAAACACATCATGTCTCTGAATGAGATCTATTCAGAGATGTATCAAACTGCTTTTGAGGATTGAGTTGACAAGAGCACAATAGAAGAAAAGTAAGGGAATAATTTTAAAAGTAATAAAAAACCTCAAAAACTTTTGATAAAGTTTGTGTTGTCAGTTGTAGCAAATCAGTCACGAAGTACTAAAAGTAGTAAAACATGAAAGAAAACCCAGCACTAAAGACCAGAAACAGTTTTAGTGAGCTAAGCATCTGTTTGGGTGTATCATGCCCCTCATCAGACTAAACAAGATTTCATTATGAAAAGTACCTGTTTACCCTGTCTGTAGAGTCCTGGCATTAAACAGCTGCCAAAGGTGGCAAGTATTATATATATATATATATATATATATAACTGTGTATGTACATAAAAAATGAGACCTTAAAATGTTTGAATAAAAAGAACCATGCAAATCTGCTTTTCTACTGAGTTCTATGTACTTCATATGCTCTATTATCCATCCTTTTTCCAGATACATTATTAAATCTTACCTTCTTTGAGGGAGCTGGATTTCATTATTCATTTTAGTTTTAGCATGTGATGGCTGTAAATGGCCACCCAAGAACACTTGCTGACAAATACCCAAGAAGAGATTTGGTAGAAGTGCATTTTTACCAAAATACATTCCATTTTTTATATGAAGAGTTCTGGAAGCAAGGTCTCATTAAAATCATTGAATTTTAAGTTAAAGTTAGGTTATTTGTATCACTTGCTTTAACTGACTTTTCTTTTTTTTTTTTTTTAATCCTACTGTTTTTCTTGGTTTCAACTATTCCATCTGATAGAAGCTTACTCACTTGCTGGCTAGAGTCAAATTTTGAGTCCAGGACTATCTGAATGGTATGTCGCAGGTTGTCAGGAGTCCTGGAAATAGGCTTTTGTGGTTAAGGAAAGAAACTGAAACAGTGTCAGTTCCCTTCTAGTGAAAGATGAAGATTTAGCTGGACACTCAGCTGGTCTAGGTTATTATTGATAAAGATCATCTGCAGTTGACTGTGCCAGGCAATTGTAGCCTTTCACTTGGAGTGGTGGTTTTATTGGAGCAGTTCACATCATCGTTGCTTCCTGACTTGATTACCTTGGTATTCTTTCTGTGTGTGTGTCACTTGGAAACTGCAGCTAGCTCGGAAAAGGCACTCTCCCTGTGCTTGGCAACAGTGTTGATAATCAAGCATGTATCTCTGCCCAGCATCGTTTACAGCAGTTGCCCCCTCCTTGCCAAGGGGACAATTTAAGATACAGGATTCAACTCCTGAAGCTGTGGATGGTGTAGAGCTTGTGTAGCTGGAAGCTGTGGCAGCAATGGGCAGTGGAGATCAGCAGCTTGCTTCACTTTAAACAGCATCTACCCAATTCAATTGGGAAGGGCCTAGAACCAAAGCTTTTCTGTGAAGCATTCTCAGCCCTGATGCACCCAAGCCTGAACTTGCTGACTTGCCTCGTCATTCTGAAAAATGTATCTCTTTTTTTGGTGTTGGGGCTGTATTGTAACAGTAACAGAATCCATGTGGGTTTGGAGCTATTTTCTGATTCAGATATCAATACTAATCTGTAAAACTTCTCATGGACCTCCAAGTTATCCCTGGATATAAAGTCACTCCAGAAACCATACAAACTCTTGTCATCCAGTAAAAAATGAATCTCAGAACAAAATGATGGGTGAATTTAGAGTTCTGCTTCTCTTGGGGTCAGCATATTTTAAACCTAAAAAGAAACTCTCTGACTAATACAGAAAATCTACCTGTTCTAACACTTAAGATAATACAATTTCCTTTCAAGTTTTCTCCAATTTTGCAGGTAGCAGTGGGTTACATAGGGCCCATCTAATGATGGAGAAGTGCTAGATAACTTCCTTGCAGAGAGTTTCTTATCACTGAAGAATTAGAAGGAATGCTTTCATTTCTTAAGTGTTTTGTCCTAGCTGGTGAAAAGAAGTGTCTTGTTTGCTTGCTTGTGTTGTTGTGATCAGGACCTAACTCAGGACTTCTCACCTTTGTGTTTGAATGTATTGGTCAGCAATGGCTCTCTAGATTAGCTGATCAGTGTTCAGACCTAACTAGTTGTTGAAGAAACTGCATGAACTGGGAGAACTAGTTACTGATTTTGTTGCTGTGTTTTGGTTTTTCTCTCCATTATAATCCACAAAGTCGGATAGCAGCCTCTCTGCACTGAATGCTAATTTAAACAGAGCTAATAATTTTGTTGTTCATTTCCCAACCTGTCTTTGGGTTTTATATTAACTTTGTGTAATAAATATTAATTTTAATTTTCTATAGAGTTGCATCCACATTTATTAATTCAACTACATGTTTCTTGGAAACAACATGTTATAACTTAGGCTGAATGCAAAGGGATGAAAAACTCAGCAAAGAAGGTAAACTGTTCGGATTTTCTTGATCGGGAAGACGTTTGGAGAATGCCTCAGTTTTTTTCTAAAGTATGGAAAGCAAATTCTGATCCTACATCTGTTTCTGTCAGTGTGCAATCCTGCACGGTTCTGTGGCTTGATGATATTAAGGGTCTGACCCATTCAAAGAAAACATTTTCCCACTAACTGAGTTTTTGGCCTTCAGGACTATTCCATTGCACAGCTCAAGCAGCCTGGTGTACAGGAAGTTTTTCAAGTGGAATAGCAGCATTGCTGTTAAAACCTCAGTCCATTTTTATCTGTAGACAAATCATTGACTGCTTCCAGGAACGTTTCTCCTTCTGCTTGTATTACCTTCACAGAAAAACTAATCGTGCTAAGTAAGCCTTGCACAAATCATGCTGCTTATCTGCCTGTTTTGGAATCTGGGGATGAAAGATGCCTAAATTAGCATGGAAGTCCCTTAAAACACCTTACAGCTATTCCATTATGAAAAAAACATCTCCATAGTATTACTTGCATTCACCTCTTTCCAACCTCAAGGGTAGAAATTGTCCTAGAGATAAATTTTTTAAAAGATAAATGCAGAACTTCTGTCACTTCCAGTTCAAGAAGTTGTTGATGATGTCTGCTAGCAACAGCATGAAAATAGTTGAATAGAGAGCTGCTTCCTTCTACATGTATCTGCCATTTATGCTTGGAGGAAACAGTCATTGTCACCAGAACCACTGAGCTTTTGCCTAGAATTGAACAATTGCTTTCTCTAAATGCATATCCAACATCATAAAATATCATGCCCTAGAAGGCTTTACTTTGTGTTCAGTGCAGTAAGCGATTCCCTCATGAACATTCTGGACTCTGAAGCACAGCGTGGCACTGCAGTGACCCATTACACCGAACAGCACAAGAGTGAGCTGTGCTGCATAAGCACTCGGTACTGAAGGGGAGTCTTGCAGAACCACTGCAGTGGTGACAGCCTCTGTATGGCATGGCCCTTGACATGCTTAAGATTTCTATAGGGCACTTCAGCCACAAGGATGGACAGGGATGCCTTTTTTACTGTTTCTGTAGACGTTGCTTTTCCAGTGCCTCGTAAATTTTTGTACTTCTCTGAACTGATTTAAGAAGTTGAAGTATGACTTTGCTGGCTTAGAACAATAAATATTGACATTTGGGGTAGAAATAGTCTTTAGGGTCATTTTAAGAGCCCTGTATCTAATCACATATTTGGGTTAGCAAACTTAATGATCATTCTTTGTTGCATATCCTTCGACATAAACTGATAGTGACATTTTCTTTCAAAGTGTTGATCAACAGCTCTGTTGGCTGCCTACAGACAATTCTGCACTCTTAAAAATGGCTCCCAGAACAAAGTTTACTTATGTAGCCAGAATTTTTTTCAAAGAAAAGCTAAGAGTTTTGAAAAGCCTGTTTAAATAAACAAGTATCTGAAGAGCACAGAATGGATTTCAATGGATTTTCCATTAGTATTATCCCTAAACAATTCACAAATATGTTTCAGTCATTAAAGCAGTACCAGGAACATGAGATGAGAATATACCATGCAGACCATACCTTTAGCATTCTCTTGTAGAAATTTTATTTCCTGGAACAGAGAAACAATCCCCTTCTCACAGCTGAAAGCAAGGGCAGAGTCTAGACATTACAAGGTATTGGAATGTCAGGAGGCATCTGTGTTCTTTGCCACTATGGAAATTCTCAGGAACAGGTGGAGATCAGCTGTGGATGGATGGATCTCAGAAGGTAAGACTAGATATACTCAGTATTACCAACAGTAGTGACTTACTGCCTTAGGAGATGAAGAAGCAGGACCAACTTGGAAGGTCTTTGTTGCTTCCTTCTGGCCTGTACCTCTCACCAGCCTGTTTCCTGGGCAGGGCTGAGTCCCGCAGTGGCCAACTTTCCCTGCCTCTGCCCATGTTCATTTCCACCTGACCCTTCCTGCCCTTTCCCTTGTCCATGCTCCCTCCCACACCTGCTTCTGCCCATGTGCTTGAGGCTATCTCTGTGGTAACCCTTGCTCCTTGCCTCAGTAAGAGGAAAATGAGGGGCCCACTATCTTCCCCCTGCCACTTCAAAGCAATGTTTTTTCATTTGCCCCCCTTTCCCAGCCTGATGGCTCTTCATTTGTGTTACAAGCTGTAAGCCCCTTCTCCCTTTTAAATGGGCTATGGAACATAAGTAGTTAAGACTTGTATGTTTGAAGAGGGGAAATTGAGTCTGAGTAAGCAAAGAAGCATCTCAGGAACTGAGCAAGTATGTGTTGGGGGTGTTGACAACGCTGAGGGCAAACAAGGGAGTTGCAGGGTTGGCTGGCTGTGGTGGGGTGGGCTGCGAGCATAGAGAAGCACTGTCAGAGCCAGAGGCAGGTGCTGACGGTGTGGGTGTGAGGCTGGTGGCCAGAAACACTGGCTGCTTGCAAGCTATTGAGTACTGAGCCCCGCAGAGGGGAAGAGGCTGTTGAGAAGGAGCATGTCTGGTTGAAAGAGAGGTTGTCAGTGCATGACTCAGAGAGTAAGAGAGAGTGTGCCGAGAGAGTGAAACTCCCATTTTGTCTGTGTTGGAATAAGTTGATTGGTTTGTGGAGGCTGTTACGGTCTAGTTCTCAGCTGGCTATAGAAGGACTCTGCAGTTTTTCTGCCTGCTCTGTCATCATGTGCTAAGGGGAAAATAAGGCTGGGCTACATGTGCATCTGTGGGGCAGAGTCCTGCTGTGGTCTGTAATGGCTTCTCATCATCTTTGCACAGACTTCACAGTTCAGAGATGATGCATGTCATATCAATCTTTTGAGTATCTCCCTGCCCTTTAGGTTTAACAATCTAGCTGAATGTCTGTTCTACTGAGGTCTTGGGCAGCACAAGTGAAGTTAGCAGGAGCTAAGTGATATATACTCTGCTGTGAATTGGACTTGGACCCCCACAGAACCTGGTATCTGCAGGGTGGAAGAGACTGCCCTCACTGGAAACTGGAGCATTCACAAACGCTCATCAAAGTCAGGACTGGCACAGGTAACCTTGGTGCTT